CAGGGGGGGTCTCACCAGAGCGGAGCAGAGGGGGACAATCCCCTCCCTCGCCCTGCTGCTCACGCTGCTGGGGATGCCCCCAGGCCACAGGGGGTTTCAGGGCTGCCAGCGCACATTGCTGGCTCGTGTTGAGCTTCTCATCCCCCAGCACCCCCAAGTCCTTCTCAGGGCTGCTCTCAATCCGTTCCCCTCCCAGCCTGTATCTGTGCTTGGGGTTGCCCCGACCCATGTACAGGACCTTGCCCTTGCCCTGGTTGAGCCCCATGAGGTTGGCACGATCCCACCTCTCCAGCCTGTCCAGTTCCCTCTGGATGCCATCCCTTCCTTCCAGCGTGTCACTACACCCACAGCTTGGTGTCATCGGCAAACTTGCTGAGGGTGCACTCGATCCCACTGTCCCTGTCACCAACAAAGATGTTAAACAGCACTGGTCCTCATACCAACCCCTGAGGAATGCCACTCATCACCAGTCTCCACTTAGACATGGAGCGATTGACCACAACTCTTTGGGTGTGACCATCCAGCCAGTTCCTTATCCACAGAGTGGTCCATCCGTCAAATCCATTTTTCTCCAACTTAGGGACAAGGATGTCACATGGGACAATGTCAAATGCTTCATTCATTAGAGTTTATAGTTGAGTTATAGACCGTCTGTGCCTGTGCCGTGCACGAGAACATCAATCCAACACAGCTCCTGTGGAACAGAAGTGTAATATCTCCTGAATTGGAGGTGTCCATCCCGTGGGTGCTCAGGGGAGGGTTGTATATCCAGTACTCATCAGTGAAGGCAGCATTCCCTGTTTGGAGGGTGACTCGTTCTGCACAGCTACTCCTTGGCATTAGTTGTTATAACAATAAACAGATCTCACGGAGCACTGACAGTTTTTCACTCTGGTGTATTTTATGGCCACGCTGCGAGTTCAAATACAAGGATTCAGTGACTTGAACCAAAGGGGCTGAAAGCCAGGAGCTAGCTGACTCTTCACTGAGATGTGGAATTTGTCTATGACCTTGAATCTCTTAGCAGCTATGTTCCTCCCTTTTGCCAGCTGGAAAATCAGCATAAAGTCAGCACCTAAGTTAAAATTTCTTTCAGAGAGAAATCCACTGCTGCTGTAGGACAACAGCAGCAGGAGTTTCAGAACTGCTGGTGGCATTTTGGGGTCGTGCTGGATTTCCCTCGTGCTGCAGAAAGGTGGCTCTGGATAGTGGAATCCCCACGATGGAAACGTTCAGTAGCAGCTTTACCAGACTTACAGAACTCCCTTGGGATGTTCCTCCGTATTTAAGCAGCTGGATAACAGTCCATTTTGATACATGAGCTGCTCGGTATTTTCGTCTGATCACTCGCCTGCCAGTGTGCGTGTGGCTCTGAAGCTTCAGGCTACAATCGACTCTCTTCTGTTTGTTTTGTTTTAAAATATTCAAGCTCCAGCTGCTACGAGACCCTAGTGCTGGGGGGTGACAGAGAGGGAAGCAGGTGGAAGGTGCAGAGCAGCAGATGTGATGCGAGGGTGTTCCCGGGCAGGTTCACTTGGCTAGGATTTGCTTCAGCTGTGCAAGGGCTAGTCTAAAAATGAGTTTTGGGTCGTTTAACCCAGACGCAGGTTATCTAACTCATGTATTTCACCTCTGTCGATCACAGTAATGCTGCTGCTTCGTCCCTGGTGGTCCTGCTGGCATCATCTCCGTGTGGACCAATCCTATGGTGTGGCCTCGTTCTCTGGTAGAACCAAGACTGAGCTCCAGCTACCAAATGTCCTGTTCCTGCCAGGTGCTGTGCTTGCCTCCTAGTTCTGGAGCCAGCATCTGCAGCGATGTTGGGTGTTTGGCTGGTGCCTGAGCGAGTCTGGTGTCTCTTGTCCGTTGGAGCAGGAGTTCAGACTGAGCCACTGATGCCAGATTAGAAATTAGTGTTCTCCCAGTTTAGGTCATGCTGAAAGGGAACACCCACACATTCCAGCAGGTTTTACAGCAAAGTCACTTTTCATTTACTGCCCTTTTCTATTGCAAGCACATCAGGTTGGGGTGCTGCTTAGGTGAATAAACAGGTTAAGAAACATCTGGCTTATTGTGAGCCCTCTTCCCTCCCCTGGGGCTCGTGGTGTGCCCTCTTCTGTGCAGAGCAGTCCTTCTCGAGTGGGCTGAAATCAATGTTGCTTCTTTCCTCAGGCTCTTGATCCAAGCGGGGTTTAATTTGAACGTCCAGGACAACGACGGCTGGACTCCGCTGCATGCTGCTGCGCACTGGGGGGTGAAGGAAGCCTGCTCCATCCTGGCCGAGGCGCTGTGCGATATGGACATCAGGAACAAGCTGGTCAGTGAGCAGAGACGTCGGCACAACACAGCGTATTTTGTAACTGTATTGTCTACCACTCGATCCCAATGACGTGGCAAAGTTACGTGGCAAGCAGTTCTCCTAGCGTGTGCACTGGTGGATTTAAAACATCAGCAAATGAAGGGAGGAAAGCCCAAAATATTTCAGGTGTTGTTGGAAAAGATCAGCGGTGAAACTTTAGGACCAAGATTTTAAGAAAGGATAGGGGCTAATCCTCCTGTTTGAGTGTAATCCTGACAAATGAAACAACAACCAAAAAGACAGTCTTGTAGTGCAAAATAACATGCTAATACTAAGGTATAAAGTACTGAAAACTAGTGAACCCTTGAGAAACTGGCAGCTTTAAATCCGTCCTGTTCTACTATATTGGCCATAAAAAGGGAAACTGAAAAATTGCCTCAGATTTGTGAGAAATGAGTAAAGAAAAATAGGATGGAAAGAAAAAAAAAAAGGAGAAAAAAAAATTCCTCTTCTATCCTAGTAGTTAGAAGCTCTTACTTGAAGAGCCTGTGGATTTGCAGGAGCTGACGGGAGCTTGCCCAGGGTTGTTCTTTGTGCTCCTCTCCCTGCTGCGACGTCCAGGCGGTGTCTGTGAACAGCTTCCTGCTGGGGCGGATTCACTCATACCGCGGCTGCTTCTGGAGGAGGAAATGAGGTTGTATTTACTTGGAACAGCACCGGGGAATGAAAGCAGGCAAGATAATTTGATGAGAGAAATGTGGCACTGTGTGCTTTGACTGCACCTGTCTGTGCTGGGAACTGATACAAAAAACCAGCTCTATGAGGAGGAACCATTTGAGAGTGGTGAGCTCTTTGGCATCCAAAATACGAGGAATTTTTTTTGTTTTAAGTGCCATCAGGTGCTTTTCCAAAGTGTTCAGAATGCGTGTGGGGTTAGAGACACAGTTGTATTTGCTGCATTACCTGCCTTTTTCAGCTGAGGATTGTTTCCCTGCTAGGTCAGCTGGCCAGGGCAGCCTGGATTTATTTGGTCGCTAGCCATCAGGCTTCATTATATGTTCTTAAGAAAATTTTTATTATAGCTTTAGTTATGGTGAAAATGTACCTGATCTCTTGTCTTGTGCCCCAGAGTAGTTTTTCTGGTTTGTTTTATTTTGTAAATCCCCACAGATGTGGAAATGGATCCCAAATTTTTTGTCCTGCTGGTGCTTGGCAGCCTTTCGGGAGGTTCGGATACGCAGTGGTACAGTAGAACGGGTTGATCACATTCCTTCTCAGAGTGAGAGTGTCCTTTTTAGACACCTGGAAACTCATTACTCCTGGCTGCTCGATTTGAACAGCAGCAATCAGGGAACTGCACTTCCATGATTCAGGTTGCTCCAATCGTGGGTTGAGTCATAAAACCATCGCTGTCGCGTGGCTTTCCCTGCTCTGGAGTGAAATAGAGCATCAGGGGAGGGAGGGAGGATGTGGAGCATGTTCACTTTTGTGCTTCCCTGGTAAACAGTGCTGCTTTGAATATGAACACCGTGCAATATTGGATGCCCTCTCGTCTTCTCTTATTGCTCCAGGGCCAGACGCCATTCGACGTGGCTGACGAGGGACTGGTTGAGCATCTAGAAATGCTGCAGAAGAAACAGACTGTGGTGAGTTTCTGGCAGATCATTTTCCACCTCTCCAATTACCTTTTCACGCATGGGTGTTCTCTAAGACATATGGCATCAACAGACGCAGGAAGCTGAGGCCCAGCTTTTTTTTTTTTTTTTTTTTTTGTTAGTCATTTGGAATCTTTAATTACACCAATATTTTTAATAGCTGGAAATCCAGAAAACTGGATGACTGCACCAAGAAGGTCAGTAGTGTGCTGACATGCAGAATTAAACTGGTAAGGGATGTGTAGTCCATCTTTGGAACTGTTATTATTCTGCAGTCGCCTCTGTTAGCTGGCAAGCTCTCTAGCATCAAACTGCTCTTTGCTTAATGAGTGATTACCCAAGTCAGCTTTGTGTTTGCGTCTAAGGAAATACACTGTCAGAGTTGAGAAAGAGGTCTGTTACCACGTCTGCCTATCTTACAATAGGGAGACTTTTGATTGAGTGAGAAGAAATTACAAACTTAAGGAAATCCTGGACTAAAAAAGTTGGGTGGTTTCAAAACTATTGAATTGCCATTTCAAAATGCAATGGAGATATTGGAAGGGCAAAGCTGGCAGAAAAAAGGAAAGCAAAAATATATCTTGAGCAGAGTAAAGCCAGTTGTCAAGCCAGAAAGCTGGCTTTGGATTGCGTTTTTTCCCATTTCATTGGGTCTATTCAATTATCTCATTTGGGTGCTTTCAAAAAACCAAACCAACCTGCTTTAAAAAAAATAAAAATCAGAAAGTATCATGTAAAATGTTGGATTCAGAGACAGATATAATGAGAACACTGCTGATAAAACCCAGTAAAGTATTTTGAGGAACTGACAATGTGGGTGGCAGAACTCAAGCTTTGATCATAACACAGCTGCTGTCATCCTTAAATAGCATCCTTAACATTCACAGAAACTTTTTTAAAATTAATCAGCTTCTCTCTAAATGAGGTGTGATAAATACTATCAGTGTTGTGTTTTGGATTTCCTCCTATCTCCCTATGCCAGGATTCTGCAGATAACTGCCCTCCTCAGGAGAAAAGAAAAAGCAAAACAATGGCAAGATTTATTTTTTTTTTTATGGATGGTAGCCCATTTTCACTCCTGCTTCGCAGGGTCTAGCAACCCACCTTGTTCTTCATATAGTTGCACTGTATAAAGGTCTTCTCCGTTTATTGAGTGTAGCAAGCTGTAGGAGAACTGGGAAGAAGAGAAGAATCCAGATTTTATCACCGTTGGTTTTTTTTAGTGGATCTGATTTTTTTTTTTAATAGAAATGCCATTTTGTCATGTGTGTTTATCATGTGCCATTTTTCCCACTTAAAATAGAAAACTTACATTTTTATTTAGGGATGAAATAGACAGTTCCAGGACATTCCTCTAAGTACATTATTTAACTTTCAAAATGGCTCTCAAATCAGATTATTTTTTTTAAAGGCTTAAATTCAAAATATATAGTGGAACAATATGAAATCCTTGCCAAAAGATACGCTGCTCTTATTGAAGAGAGGAGGGGATTTTTTTTGCTGGAAGCAATTAATCTGATTTGGGTTTGGATTTTTTTTCCCCCAATCTCTGAGTTATCTGTGAACGGAGCAGGTTGTTTCCTCCACCTCCCTTTGCTGTGCTCCAACAGTTTGTTCTATTTAACAACAAATTGTACCCCAGCTTTTGGCTCTTCACTGGATTCCACGTAGCTTTTCCCACATTCAGAATTTACAGAGCTTTTGCTTCTTGTGCTTGATGTCAGCTCCTGCTGTCGAAAGCAGAACTAGGCTAGACATGACCCAGAAGAGATGTGAGCCTCTAATTGTGAGCCCTTCTTCTACCCCAACTGCATCTGACTTTCTAGATGGTACAGAAACTTTTTTTTTTTATATACTCTTTTGGCCATCAGTGGTGACAAAATTAAAATTGCTGCTCTCTGGGCAAAATATTTCGGTTGCTGTGGTCATTGCAGGTATTCTTGCACTGAGATATTTCAGAGGTGACCCATCCTTGTGGCAGAGCCATCGGTTGCCCGTACGGGGCATACTCGGATGCTTTCCTCTGAGAGCAGGTAAATAACCGCTACAGAGGCAGCAAATTTGAAATGGACTCAGCCTGATTTCCTGGGCATGCAAACACGCGTGGCCAGAGCCCCAGTGCCGTGTCCGCGTGGGCAGATGCGAGGCAGTACCGTGGAAGTCGGGATTTGGCTCTGGGTCTCAGCAGGGACTGCTGCAGGATTCTCAGAAGGTTTTATTAAATTACAGCTTGAGCCTAAGGACGTGCTGGGAGTGTAGTGGTGCCCTTATGGAGCCGCAGTCCAAGGCATCCCGTGCTCTCGCAGATGTCCATCTGTTGAATTGTTAAACTCATCCACAGTGTTTTTCATCTAACGAGGCTGGGATGACCTTATGCGGTGGTAGTTATCGTGTTGTGCTGAGGTGGCTTGTTGAGATGTCTCTTTTCATTCTTTCTCCAATCTTCTTGGACTTCTGGACAGTTGCGAAGTGAGAAGGAGACGAGGAATAAGCTAATTGAAGCTGACATGAATGGCAAGCCTCAGAGCGGACTCTTCCCCAAGTACGTCTCGTTCCTCTTTGTTGAAAAGAAGCTGCACAGAGAGTAACTGGAAACCAGCTTCATCTGTTCGCGGTCAGCTGGCCTCAGCTGGTTTAAAAAAGAAGTTTACCACTATTCATGCTCATTTCATGGTTTCTTTTAAATTTGATCGCTCCTAAATACAATTGTAGCTGTTTCTTAACATACCCACTGAATGGAGGAACAAGGAGTTGGGCTGGTGCTTGGTCCCCCAGTTCTGATCATGTTTTGACCTCTGGACTGGGAACGGCACCTTTGCAGTTGCACAGAGCCGTGCAGCCCCGCTGATGGGTTGCGTTGCATTAGGAAAAGAGAGACCACATTTTTCAGATTGAGAAATGCTTGCAAATTTAGGAAATGTGAGACCGGCATTGGAATCCGTGGCAAATGGGCAGCGCTGGAAGCACTGAGATGCTGAGCCTGTAGATGGATTTTGCCCTTTTGCTTGTTCTATATGTAGAAAATCATGTCTATGTGAGACAGTAGAGCTCAGAAATAACTCACTCGCCTGATAGTCCTTAAAATTTCTGTATCTTGCAGCAAAGAGAAGATTCTTTATGAGGAAGACACGCTGAAGTCTGTGGAAATGGAGGAAGAGAACAAGGACTCTAGCAGTTCTAGTTCCGAAGAAGAGGAAGAAGCTGAAGAAGATGAAGTTTCAGAATCAGATGCCGAAAAGGAGACAGGTAAGACTTAGTATCATCTTGGATTTAATAATTAGCCCAGCAATATTAGAGGATCAGTTTGAGAACTGGGTTTTTTTGTGTGTGTGTTGTTTAGTTGTTAAAGACATCCTGAAAGTCTTTATTCCAGTGTATATGTGTAGAATATGGAGAGCGCAGTAGCTAGTGGACTAAAAAAGCTGATCTAAATACAGACTCCCAGGTCAGCATAATTCTTCTGAAAATAAGCTACAGACAGTATTTTAATTTCTACTTCCAGCTGACTTGAATTTAAGGTAACACTTTGTTCACAGGTTGTGCTTAAACAGTAGATTTTTTTTTTCTCGTTGGCCAATTTCAGGATGAACACTGCAAGATGGTAGAAAAGCAATTGAACACACAGGAAGGTAATAGCCTGTTGTATTTGGATCAGAGAAATGAAATTAAGGGCTGAAGCTGTTCTGTGTAATTATAGAGATGAGGAACTTTTTTTTTCTGACTGTGATGTATAATAATTGCAGAACCTGGTGGAAAATAAGGATTAAGTACATTGAGTCACATTAGCCTTCACATGGTAGCATACTGCTAGCATCCTACTCACTTCATTTCAATCTCGTTCCTTTCCCATAATTTCTAAGGCTTCCTTAATTAGCTTAAATAGCATATATGTGCAGCACAGGAAGTTAAATAAAGATACTTCATTTTGCAGTAAGCCAAGACTTGTACTTAATATTTCTGCAAAGAGAGAGAGGTCTTGGACTGGGATGTGCTTCGTGGGTAAACTGCTCTTAACATCAGCCTCCTTGGCCTGCGTCCCAGTGTACTAATAAATAAGTCCTTGCAGAGGAGTGTAGTTTAAAGTTTTGTCCTGCTTCTTTGCCAGTAAAATTGTCACCTGGGTTCTGATGGTGTCAGTTATGTTTAGAGCAGTGTGAGAGGTGTTGAGAATCCCGGCTGGTCTTTGCAGAGCTGGTAGTTACACAAGCTGTTTGGGTACGACAGTAACACGGAGAAATAAGCTTTTGGCTTTTAAATCAAGCCAATGGAGTGGAGAAGTCGGTGGTGGGAACAGGCATGCAGTAGAAGTCACTTTTATTTGCCCCATTAATCAGGGTTTTACTAGACAGTAGCCCTGTATAGCCATGTGCCAATTCTTGTAAACACGGCAGGAACTTGACCAAAACACCTCTGATGTGTGGATAAGAAGCTGTAAGCGGAGCTCCGTGGTGTTTAACTGATCCAGGGACAGCAGAAGATCCTTCAGCAGGGAGAGTGCTGCAGCACTCGGCATCGAATTTTGTGCAAAGCCAGAGAAGGTCTTTTTATTGTGTTAATTCACGGAGCAAAGTGAGTTTCAAACTACTAAAGCTAAAACAAACTGAAGACAAAAAGCATCAAGTAATGATTTAGCATCAGGCTTTGGGCTTTGTTACCTGTGCTGTCCTTTCCCGGAGAGACTATTGGCTCCTTTGAGAAATTTCGATCAGAATTGAAACCTCACCTTGTAAACTTCTCAAATCTCCAATAGAATGAAGAGGAACTTGTCCAGCTGGGTGTAGACAGTTGTCAGTGAATGGGGTGCACGTTTTTGGTACTCCTTTTAAAACAAGATTCCTGAGATAGCAATAGCAGCCCACATGTTCCAGGAGGAGTCCAAAGATAGGTAGGGATGAAAATAGCTTTTCAGAGAAAAGTATAAATGTCACAGTATTACTAGTTTCAAACACAATCCTAAGAACATTGATGCTTTATTATCTGCTAGACATTTGAGATGCTCGGATGCATACAGGAGGCATGTTTTTGAAAACATGGAAATTATTTCCTTTTTCCTCTTCGTATATCTCTTCATTTTCTCCTGAGGTGTAATATCCACATAACTTTGTGATTCTGAGCAGTGCTGGACAGAGAGAAGATGACTGTTGTCCTAAAGTGTTCAAAGTCCAGATTAAGGAAAGGGAGTGGGAAGCCAAAACACTGTTGTGAGTGATCTTTTTAAACCAAAAAATCTGAACTCCTTTGGTAACTGAGCATAGGGCAGTGCAAAGGAGTAACTGGAAGTGTAACACAGAAGTTGATTTTGAGGTGTGCTTTGAAAGGTCTCAGGTTGCGATAGATTTGTGGAGTTTGTGGGAGGATTAGAGATTTGAAGAGATGAGCAGTGAAGATGTCGGAGAGCCTCAGAGTACAGTCTTTCTCACAATCTGTAACAAATTTGTGTTCTTCACACGGAGGAAGCTAAGTACCCTAATGCCATTTTATTCATCTCGAGGACAATTAACAAATTGGCATTGGGTTGTGTATAAACAAGAGACAGATCAGTATAAAATTCTGTGGCCGTTACCTGTGCTGGTAACTATTACAATGGGTAACCATTGTGAATTGAAGCAGGCCAGGGAAGCTTTCAACTAAAAAAAAAACAACAACAACAAAAAAAAAACCCACCCCCCCAAAAAAAACAAGAAACCTTAAGAAAAATGGCATTTATGCCAAATTAGAGAATGAAATTTTCAATCTCACCAAATTTGTTTTGGGGAGACTGAGCTAATCCTGACCTGTTTCTCTTGATTGGAGTTTGTAATGTTTATCGCTGAAATTTTAGTAAAATAAGATGTGGAGTCCTCCCCTGCAGACAGCAGCCCCTGGTGCGCAGCCTCTGGCGCTGTCTCTGCAGTAGCCTCCTTTGGCTCCCATTGCTCACAGGGTTCTTTCCAGCCTGTCATTACCGCTTCAGCTTATCCCCTTGTAATCAGCCGTGACCTTAGAGGCTGGGCTCTGTGCTGTGAGTCCCAGCTCCCAGTGCCCATCCAGCCCAGCCAGTCGAGCCTGCTGCTGGCCGCTCCGGGCTGTTCCCCCCTTCCTGCCACTCTCCTGTGGCTCACAGGCTTCGCTCTCCAGAGCTCAGCAAGCGGAGTGTGTGTCCGTGTGTGTTCCCCAGGCTGCTGAATGCCAGGCCAGCGCTGCCGGGAGAAACGGGACATCTCCTGCCTCTTCCCAAAAGGGCTGTTGGGAAGCGCGGCACATCCAGGCACAAGAGGTGCGGTACTCTGGTTAGGTGACTTTGATGGAGGGTCTGAGACAACACAGAGAGGGAAAGGTGGCTGAGGCTTCAATATCGTGCCGACCATCCCAGCAGAGATGCATCTTTGTCTCTTTAATTCTGAAGCTGTCAGTCCTGCTAACTGCCTGTTATTTTCAAATGTTTCTCTTGGCTTGCTCTTTTCTGTGTCCTTTGAGCCCTATTTTCTAGGAGCGAGAACATTTGTTGCAGAAATATTGATCGTTGTGCTCTAAGATGCCGTCCGCACAGCTGCTCCGTACCAGACTGCTTTTTATATGGACTGGAACACCTTTATTCACCGCACGCGCCTCATTTGGTGGTACTGTGTTTGGGTGGTTACACTTAAAATTATTTTTTCAACCCCATGACTGTGTGAGGTGTTCAGCTGCGAGAGGAAAACATCATTTTCTTGGTGCATCATTTCGCAGGCACCTCACACGTGCCTGTGTTTGGTCAATACTCTGGTTTAGAGCCCTGTGCACTCCTGTCAGTGGATCCTATTGCCTGAGACATTGTTTCTGCTTGCGCTCCCTCCGGTGATGTCTGGTGGATAGTCTTAGGTCATGCATGGTGCGTAGATACAAAAAAAAAAAATTAATGTGAGATTTAGGAAGAAATTTTTCACTGTGCGGGGGGTGAGGCAGTGTCCCAGGTTGCCCAGAGAAGCTGTGGATGCCCCATCCCTGGAGGGGTTCAAGGCCAGGCTGGGTGAGGCTTTGGGCAACCTGGGCTGGTGGGAGGTGTCCCTGGCCATGGCAGGGGGTGGCACTGGATGGGCTTCAAGGTCCCTTCCAACCCAAACCATTCTGGGATTCTATGATTTTTGCCCTTGTCTAACAAGCAGGGAGAGAACTGTGAGCTCTGGTAGGGTTTGCTTAGCTTGCCTGGAGCCCTGGGAAAGACTTTTGTTGGGGATCAGTCCTACTTTCAGGTAAAAAATGGATTTTGCTGTAGAAAACCAGACATTTTGCCCACCAGCGTAAGCAACTGGACCAGTACCGTGCAGTGAAACCCACCGCCAGGCCGCGGGGACGCGTGCTGCGGCAGGAATGGCGTGTTCTGCTGCTGCTCCCGAGCTTTGCACGGGGAGAGGAAATGAAATTGTGAATAAACAACAACAACAAAAAAAAAATCTGTTTGTCCTCCTTCAGGTGCTTGCTGCAAAGATTTTGCTTGTCTGTGGGGATGAAATTAAAAAACGTTGCCTGGCAAATATATCCATCATGTTTTCCAGTCAGTAGAAAGCCCCGGTTGGCCTCGGCACTGGCATCGTCTGCGTGATTTGAGGCGTACCGAGGCCGCAGCGACACTGAACTCAGCTGTAGCGCAGCCTGTGCTTGTAGAGCAGGGCCCTGGAAGTGTGATACTGAAACATTTGGTTTCTCTTCTTGTTTAAAATTGTAGAAAGGAAGCAAGAGCCCTTTGCCAACCACTCCAGCCACGAAACCAGGCCCAGCATCACTGAGCAAATACCACCGCCCGAGCCCAACTCCTTCACTGCCTCTGCCAGAAGGGTAAGTGACTCTGGAAGCACCGGGGACTTGAAAGCAGTGTACTGGGAAATGAACGCTCTGAAACCAGTCTTCGGAGGAGTTGTAAGACTTGAAATTAGGAAAGCATGATACTATGCAATTTTGATAAAGATGCTTTAACGGGGTAACGGCTTTAGGCTGAAAGAGGGCAGACGTCGACTGGATAGTAGGAGGAAGTTTTGTCCTGTGCAGGGGGTGAGGCAGTGGCCCAGGGTGCCCAGAGGAGCTGTGGGTGCCCCATTCCTGGAGGGGTTCAAGGCCAGGCTGGATGAGGCTTTGGGCAACCTGGGCTAGTGGGAGGTGTCCCTGCCCATGGCAGGGGGTGGCACTGGATGGTCTCTAAGGTCCCTTCCACCCCAAACCCTTCTGGGATTCTGTGATTCTATGCTGTGTTGACAACAGGATGGGACTGGCACAGAGGAGGGTGTTTGTACAATAAAGTTCCATCTTGAATCTCCTGCTCTCTGAAGCAAATTGTGCTGTTTGCAGAAGCCCTGCTTAGCGCAGGTGCTTTGTGTCGCTGTCAGTTCTCAGATAGCCGATGCCAAGCCCTTACCAGCAGGAGTTCTTTCTTTTGCTGAGGTATCAGCGGTGAATTTGGCGTCATCATCTAAAGTGCCTCCAGCTTGCCAGACTTGGTTCCTTCAGTGGCACGATGTTACGGCCCAGTGAGCAGAGAGGGGAGAGTTTGCATCTGACTAGAGAGCTGGGCTATGAAAGCTTGTTAAAGGTGAAGCAGAGTTGCTGAAATCTTATCTGAATTCTCCAGCTCTCACGTCACTCAGCTAGATGGCACCAGGAGACTCCGTTCTGCTGAGGACTGGGATCTTACGCTTCTGGTTTCTTTTCGCACCAGAATATGGAGGACAGCTATACACTGCAGGCACCTAGCCAAAAACTCTGAAGCACCGGGTACATGTTAGAGGGAAAACGTTTCTTGCTTAGTCACAATTTTTTATTTTTGACATGCTGCTAAGTCTAACTTCTCATCCAGCTGAAATGCAGTAGAGCTCCTTGGCGTGTTGTTCGACTCAGGCTGGCTTAAGCAGGGGAAGTACTAAAGGCAGAAGTGTGAGAACTGCAGTTAACCTTTTCCCAGCTGCGGAGCATCGTTCTCACTCATTTGAGCTGTTTAACCCACAATAAGGCTGTCAGGGTATAGAAGAGGGCCTATAAAGCAGTTATTAATTTGACCTCAATCACTTAAGATCGGCTGCTTCACCTTCTCTTACATGTTTGATCCTGCTGTGATCTCGTGGTCACATTGGCTTTTCTAAGGGGAAAGATGAGTGCTTGTGTTGCCCTCTGTTTCTGGGGTTATTCATATTGGCTGTTCCTATGCAGAAATTACAGAAGGCAGCTTTTACTGTGGATTTGAGCTTTCTCTGAGGAAAATGTCAAAACTGCATTAAAATGTTAGAGCTGCGTAGCTCAGTAGACTGGAAGTGCTAGAATTAGCGAAGTACAGGAGATTAACTCTCTGCATCTGCATTAGAATAACATCAGCTAAGAAACACTGCTACATACTGCAGTGATAATTTTCTCTTTGCAGTCTGGAGTCGATGAGTGTGAGGACAGAGCTCCCCATAGTCTCAGTTATTCTGGATAATGTCAGATGTTTTGTGTTATGCAGAAAATAATGCTTATATCAGCTTTGACCGAAAGCCTTGTCTGCCCCAGTACCCTGCCCTTGACAGTGACCATCAAAAGATACTAAAGAAGGCAGAATCTTGCTGGGCTTCTCTCCCACCTTCTCGCAATTTGCATTTCAGGGACTTACTCATCCTTGTTGCCTTTCTCCAAATCTCTTCCCCTTCTTCTGTACTGCTTTCGAGCCGTGGAGCTGAGCTGTGTGTGACATCAAAGATGTTGGACAGTAACACAAAGGGTTAACAGTGTAGTGCTCCATATTCTTTTCCAGTAATTCCCGGTGTTTTGTTTGCTTTGTTTCCTATACAACTCAGTGCTGAGCCCCTGTCTTTGTAGAAGTATCTCTTGCAGCGCCCAGGCTCCAACCTTGAAAGGCAGTGGGCATCTTTTTGTAAGAATTGCTAAATCTAACTGAAGTTGTGCATTTAAGCAGTTGTATATTTGAGGAATAATGTATGCTTGTCAAAGTGCCTCGTGTAACACAAGGGTCCATTCTGTAGGATGTATAGAATATGTGGTTACCTGAACATAGAAAGGTTTAAGCTAAAAGGGGTCTCTGCAAGCCTGCAGTCCAGCCTTGCTCGAAGCAGGGCCAGCTTCAAGCCTATCTCATGTTGCTTGGAACTACCTGAGCTCAGCTGAGCATTGAGAGGTCTCTGAGGACGGAGTTGCCCCACTTTCCTGCTCCCTGTCCCAGTGCAGCATCGCTCCTACTGGAAGCTATGTCTTACTTCATGTCATCTGGGATTTCCTGTGTTGGAACTTCTCTGTTCCTCCTTCTGCTTCCACTGTAGCCCATTGAGAAGTCTGGTTCCATATCCTCTGTAAACCCTCACCCCCCAGGTAGCAGAGGAATTAAATCCTTTCTTTGCCGCCTCTTTTCCATGCCAAACAAGCCAGGTTTCCTCAGTCTCTCCCTTTATGTGCTATGTGCTCCAGTTCCCTGATGATCTTAATGGTGTGTCTCCAGTTTGATCTGTGTGAGGGTTTTATTTGCAGCTGGTCCCAAAAGAGTCAATTACTTTTTTTTGTTTTTCTGCCTTTATTGAATAATTCCCCCTTCCTAAACAGGTGCTAATAAAAGCTTCATTGTTCCTTATATTCTTTCTGCAAAGCTGGAGGAGGGCATTGTGTAGGCAAAGGGAGCTGCACAGTGACACAAGATTTCTTTCATCAGCTGTCCTTGGGGACGAGGACACGACAGCAGTTAGCATCCCCGGGAGTTCACCTTGAGCCATGTCCTGGCATTAAAGCCAAGCAGGAAATCAAAGTCCTTCCATCTTAGGTTTACAAGTATAGCCCAGCAAAAACTGGGGCATGTTGAAAAGCTTTCAGAACTTAGATTGTGCCTTGGCAGTGCTCTTACTTCTTCCAAACGTCCCTTTTTCTCCTCTCCAGTTCAGTTGGCTCAGCAAGACAGAGGAGCAGAAGGATGAGTCACCTGCGTCGTGGCGGCTGGGACTACGGAAGACTGGCAGTCACAACATGTTGAGTGAAGTCGCTGCTACTCGTGAGGCGCAGAGAGATAAGACTTCTTCTATCTATCGTTCTTCATCAAGTCCCCGGATATCTGCGTTATTAGACAACAAAGAAAAGGTTTGGCTTTCAGCGGTGCTGTTTCGGTGCCTCCCAGCTGAGCAGCCTTTACCTCTCAAGTGTAATACCCTTTCCCTTTCATTCTGAGTTATTGCTGGGTTTTGTATCCATAACAAACTTGGGTCTCTTTCGTTCTTTCTTTTTCTTTTCTTTTGAAAATTACTCCAATCAGTTGTTCTTGCAGAAGTGGTATTCACTGCCCCTTTGACCTCATCCCTGCTCGGTTTGGAGTGGGCGGCCAGTCTGGCATGTCCTGTTCTTTACCAGAAAATATCTAATCCAGACAGTAGCACGTGTGCTGTGGAAATTCTCCTTCGCTGTCATCTATATGGATTCCTCCAGTATCCACCAGCTGTATTTGCGAATCCCACCCCACGTATTCACTAACTGTAACTGTGTCGCCCGTGGGTAGATGCCCCATCCCTGGAAACATCCAAGGTCAGGCTGGCCGGGGCTCTGAGCAGCCTGATCTAGTTGAAGGTGTCCCTGCTTGTTGCAGGGGGGTTGGACTAGATGCCCTTTACAGGTCCCTTCCAACCCAAAGGATTCTATGGTTCTCTCATTTGTAAGTCGTTCTGGTCAGAAGCTGCTATTATTCAGTATCGTGCTCTTCAGGAAAATAATTTTCAGACCCGATGCTGTGCTATGTGTTGCCCAAGAAAATGCCTTAAAGCAGTTGTCCCTAGACAGGAGAATGCTTTCTCAGTTGAAGAAACCTGAACATGAATTTAGTTGTCACTGAACATGCTGGAAGTGTAACAGATGTGCAGCTCAAGTACTTCTTTTGCTTCACCAGGATAAAGACAACAAGAGCTATCTTGCCACAATAGCCCCCAGAAGACTCAGCAGTACAAGCGATATAGAAGAAAAAGAAAATAGGTGAGACAGAACTTAATGCTCGGCTTCTGTCCTGTCGATAGTTCTTCCAGAATACCGTTTTTTTCTGTATTCATGCTTCATATATTCTGTCAGTAGTCCCAAGCGCACAGGAATTCACCATATCGAGAGCTGCCTCTGGTCTGGAAAAGTTCTGGTGCGTTGCTTTTCATTGAGGTGAGCAGAGCACAGGGCAGGTTTCTCCCCCTGTGTTCATACAGATCCGGTCTCCATCCAGGAAACTAGATGTATGCATTTTTTATTTATTTATTTTATGTATGCATTTATTACTTTTTCCTTTTATATGCGAGTGCCTCATTTTGTAGCTGTCACCTGCACTTCTACTTCTGTCACTTGCTCAATAGTCACCTTCAGTCCCTTTGTTCCCACTTCTGTCATTTTTTGACTCATTAGACTTTGTGAACTCTCTCTGTTCCCATTGCAGGTGCTGTTTTTTCGGTGCCTGTGTGTAGTTGCCCCTAGACCAGAGCCACAGTAAATGGGATAGATATCTAATGTCTCAAGATATGTTTGACAACCTAATCTCTACAAAGTGTTTATTCACAGTTTGTGTTAGGAGGAGTAAAAATTGAGCTTTGCCTCATTTCCAGCCGCTTCCCCAATCGTGGTAGAGAGGCACGTATAGAGGAGTCACTGCGAACTGTAGTTGTTGTGAGGAAGTCACGGCCGATGGCCACCCCGAGAGAATTTCAGCACAGTTGGAGATTCTTTCCTGATCTTTTGCTGGAACCTCCCTGCTGCGTTCTTGCTTAATCTCAGCCAGTCACTGTGATTTGGAGTTCAGCAGACAGTTTGTGTTTAAATGGCTGATAAGCTCGAGCGGTTTTGGCAGCGGCTCGTCCTGAGTGGCATTTCCAGCTGCCTGCTGCTAAGTGTCCTCTGCTCGGTAGAGGAGGGGATGAGGAGGATTGCCCTGGATGAACAGATGGTGCCCAGACCTACTGGGTAGTACAGATTTTTCCCAATATTCTTTCCATTTGAAACAGCTGAGTTTCATTTCATGGCACCCACAGGTGTTTGAAAGGGCATCAGCATGGACACGGCAATTAAAAAATGAAAAATAATGGCAGGCTGATGAGTGAAAGGGTTTGTGTTGCATTACAAGCTTGAGGTCTTGTCCAAGAGCAGAAAAGAACAGGACATACTGCCAATGCGTGTGTTAGGAGAAGGAGCCCTGGTTTCAGATAACTGTGATGAACAGGACTACTAGGCATTTATTGATAACTTATCAAGTAGTTTTAGATATTGCCAGATATTTTGTTTATGGTTTGCTGCTGCTGAGTATAGCAAAGGATTTGCCCTGCTGAGCTGCTTTACTGTCACTGCCTGGGTACCTCGGAGAATAAAGCGGTCCCTGGGGTTGCGGTATCTGGCCATTTGTGCAACGTTGTTTGATACAAGACAGCAGAAAGAATATCAAATGACATTATTAAATATGTTCCATTACTTTTATGGGCAATCTAAATTTCAATTGCAAGTATTCTGACTAAAAAGAATCTTGTTCCTCTTTCTGCAAAATATTCAATCATCTGGTGATTCTCAGGTGACCCAGCTGTCAATAACTAACTGATGTTCAGGCCAGGAGAGGGCTTTGAGTGGCTTGTGTTACCTGTGGACAATAGTGCCTGTAGTTGTAAGGGAAGGATTTTTGTTGTGGAACCGTAGAGAAGACCAAAAGCAGACTCCAGAAGTTTTTCTAAACAAACCTTGTTCTCTCCCCTCCGTTAGAGAATCGGCCGTTAACCTCGTGCGGAGCGGCTCCTACACTCGGCAGCCGTGGAGGGATGAATCAAAGGGAAACGAAGCTCCCCATTCTGGTGCACCTACTACCTACGTATCTACCTACTTGAAAAGGTACGTCCAACTCTGTCTCACATGGGCTCCCAGGCACTAGTTCTACTCTTAACATGCTTCCCAACCTTCAACTTTCTGCTTGCTGCTTCCTGCATCAGCGTAACTGGCCTTGGGACACTCTTCTGCTGAGAGCAGGAAATAAAAGTTAAGATTTGCAGACATTTGTCATGCTAAATAGTAGTTTTAAAGGCCATCATTTTTGTTGATTTGTAAATTGCTGAACTGAATTTAAATACTTGTGTTGACATAATTCAAATGCGAAGTGATTTCTCAGTTTTATGCTAGTATTATGGTTAGATAATAAAACAAAAATTGATCATAAAAAGTGAATAATTACCATCTGAAAGCATTGTTCAAATAGCTATTGACAGGTAAGTTGTAGCTCATCTCTAATTTTGGTTTACATTAGTCCGTGTTTATGGCATTGTTATCAGAAAGTGGCAGTGCTCCTGTGCACGACGTACAGCCCTTGCGCAGGAGTGAGACTGATGCCTCCAACCATTTTGTTGTGGCAGTAAGGAAGCAGTTGCTGCACAGTGTATGTGAAATTTTAGAGGCTGATTGCTGGTGAACTAGCCAAGCAGAATCAGGAAAGCAATCCTGTGCAGAGCTTCTTTCACTGGCAGTGTCTTTTACCCCGCTGGAAGGCAGAGGCTCACTTTCCTTAAGTACCAGATAATGGCTGAATGAGGTGAGTGAATGTCCTGCTCTGTTAAGGCAAAGAATACATTACTGAGTTTTCATCTCAGTTGTGAGGAGGAGGATCAGCCCTTCGTGCACAATACAGTTCTGTCACCTCACCTTTATTTTAGCTAATACTGGAACCCATCAAAACAACCTGTATGAACATGTCACGCGGCAAAGCCGTTTGATCTGTGCTTAAGGAAAAAGGCAAAAATAATTCAAGGTTTTAGATTGTGTTTCACCAAATTCTAGACCCTGAACTAAATAACTATCCTGAAGATGGAACAATTGCTTGAGAGTTTGGGAAGAGGCGTATTTTTGGTGTTCTAGCACTTCTCTGGTAGAGATAAGTTGTGCTTGAGGAGATGTCTGTCCCATTGCTGGGCACATCCAGACCCATTTCCACAAAAGGTGAAACAGATCACCACTTCTCCTGATCTGCTGATCCATTCCAGTGACTTCACATCTATCCTGGGACATGATGACAGGCCAGCCTCCAAGGCTTATCTCTCTCTAAAGGCAGCCCGACAAGCCGCAGCTGATTACATTGGAAAACTTTTGCCTCTTGCTGCGGGCATGTTCCCTAATCTGCGAGACGGTCCAGTCCCTAACGTCACTGACCTGGCTGGCTGTTAAAATTTTACAAACACTGCCTGCTTGTCGCAGCTAATCCTGAACCAGATTTAGTATTGCATTCACATAGTTGTGTATTTCCATGGTTAAACTGTAGAGACTAGCGAAGGCTGTAGCTGGCAGCGGTGTTTCGCTAATACCGATTTGTCCCAAAGGCTGAGTTCTGGCCTCTCGTAGGAGAGTGTTGGCTTACAAGCAGTTACAGAGAATACAGTTAGGAATAAACTGTACTTTTTTTTAGAAAGCAATGGTTTTGTATTTTGTGTACAAACAGTAAAAAAAAAAAGATCAGTTCGACCTCTATCCCAAATGGTTTTCTATAGAAGAGCACAGAGAAATGAAATATAATTGTATTGAACCTCTGATTTCTCCAGCCTTGGGCATCGGCCTCTAAGATGAGGAAGGGAACCTGGTTAAAGGATTTGCTCCTTGTCATTTCCAAGTATTAACAAAACTCTGAACACAACTCCAAAATACAAAAGCTTATTCTGAGAGAGGAAGAATTAAAGTGAACGTGACATACATGGACATTAGTGAGAGGACGACTTCTGTCCATCTGCATTTCCCCTTTACCTGAGCATTTGACTGATCTCTGTGAAGACACCTAGTTATGTCCTGGAAGTCCTTTATATGACCCCCAAACAAAGAGTAAACAACTGCAACAGATCATTTTAAGATGTTGAAAATGTCTTTTCTTCTAAAAAGGGACAAAATAACTTGCATCAATGTTGCCAATGGTCTGCAGCTTTAGTTGAAGTCAACGTTAAAACGCTCCCTGTAATGGTAGGGACTGTCACCCGTTCTGCTGTCTCTATGGGTGTACCACCAGCCCAAAAAATCACAGAACCCTGATCTGACGGCTTGTTCCCCATTTTGGTGCATATTGCCCTTCAAACAGCCAGTTCATGTCGCCGGTATGTTAAAGGATTTGGAGGAAAACTGGCGTAGCAGATTGCATTAATTCAGCGTACTTCCTTTGCCATCAGCCGTGAGAGATGCCTCCCAGGAAGGGATCACACACACCAGAGTGAAATCACTTTTTCCCACAGTTAGTTTCTCCTTCCTTTTACGTATTGCAGATACACCTTCTTACTGGTTTTGTTCACATAAAAACCATCCCAGCGAATCAGGCCAACGGTCCACGCAGTCCAGCCTCTGGTTCTGACAGCAGCTGGTTTTGAGGGCTCAGTTGCAAAAGCTGGGATGACTTCAAAGCAGTTTTCCACCTCCCACGCTCCCCTTGCTTCCAGCAGTCAGGAATTTAGGAGCCAGGGGTTATACTTAACCATTGTTCTTAGTAGTCACCACTGTGGCCAGCATCCCTAAGCAAATCCTGTTTCAAGCTCTGCAGTACCCTATGGCAGTGTGTTTAAAAAAAAAAAAAAAAAAAAAGTTATACAGTTATGTGTTTTGTGCAAACCTTTTTTATTAGTATATGTGGAAGCTTTTTGAGGTTTTGAAGGCTTTTAAGATTTTGAATTCTACTTACCTTAGCTGTTTTCAGAAGTATTTCTTTTTATTGATCTGAAATGTTGCTTCCCATTTCATGGCTCGTTCCCCGATGGCTATGTTACGGTGATTATGTGAAAGAACGAGTAGCAGTGTGTCAGTGCCTTTTTTATTTCTAATGTTGAACTCTTTAGCATAAATTCATAATCCTCCTTTTTGCAGATTCATATGAACGCAGCTGTTAATTAACAGGATTCCCCAGCTATCCTTTTTCTCTCTATTTTCTGCTCCTGTTCACATCAAATGTGAACAACTGAATAAATGCCTCGGAGTCCTCCTCAAACTGCAGTGCCACCCCTGCGAGGGGTGGGGAGGTGACCTCCCCTGGAGCTGGCAATGCCGTGGCTCCCTCCTCGTGAGCGGAGCGTGTCCGTGATGCCCCAGCACTGCATTTCTCCGAGCTGGGGCATGTGCATGTCGGAGCTGGCACAACACCATCACCATGCTCTTCTCCTCCATTCCTCCCCCCATCTGTGCTCTCCCAGGCACCTGGAGCTGCTCCCATCCTCTGGTCTCCCCTTTTCACCCATTACCTTTCCCTTCTGAAAGACAATCCTTGGCAGGTCTTGCTTCAGAACCCTCCCGTGTCCTCCCCTCCTGACCACGGTCCTTCTCTCTTTGGCAGCCCCCCACCCCTCGTGCCCCAGCCTCTCTGCCCTGGGCTCTCCCAGGATGGTGCCACGTCACTCCCGCTCCCCTTTTCCCCACCGCTCCTCTTGTTCCTTCCCCTGGCACATGCTCCGCTACTGTCGTCTTCTCCGTACCCTCCTTCCTGCGACTCCACGGCCACTTGCTCCGCACGCCCACCCCATCCTGGCTCCTGCTCCCCCCCTCCTCCCAGCCCATCCCCAGGGCCTGGCCCTTTCCTCCGGTGTGGAGAGCCAAACGGGAGGCACTGGCTTCCAGCAGGACTTCCTGCTCCCCGGTGCTGCGGGCAGGGGCTAGCTTTCCAGAGGAAGGGTCTGCTGGAGGTTGCTACCTGGTGACAGTAATTTGCTTGTTCCTTTGTGACCGGGATGTGGCGAGCAGCTGCCAGCTGGAGAGCCCGACTGTCAGGTTCCTCCCCGGGGGCCCTCCAGGACGCCCCGTTCTCTCCTTTGGCTGTCCAGGAACCCGCTGCTTGTTCTGGGCTGGCTGGGGCCTCGGTGTATCAAACTGGCTGTAAATTGGGTGCCTCCGTGAATTGGATGGGATCCTTCCTCCCCCCTGCTCTCATCCTGCCCCTTCCGAGTGCGACTCCATCCTCGGGCTGCTCTCTCTGACTCTTGCACCAGTGTTGACCTCCAGTTCCAGTCTGTTGTCCCTGGCTTTCCCATAAACCCGTAGCTCTTCGTCCTAGTCTGCTTTTCCTCCCGGTCAGCTTTCGTTCCTGGTGCAGCCCCTTTCCTCCATGCTCCATGTGCGCTGCTGGCACGGGAGTCACCGGGATGCGGGAGGGGAGAGGCAGCCCTCCAGCCTTCCTGGCCTTTGGTCCTGCAGACAGCCCAGTCTGACCAGTAGCAGCCAGGAATACCAGTTGCTGGGGAAGGTGTGGCTCACGCATGCAGCTCGTTTGCTCTGTGCAGGCGCTGAGCACGTGGGGCTCTGGCACGTGCTATAAAGAGATTTTGCCAGATTTCATCAAGTCTGTTTTTAGAGGAGCGCAACTTTTCCCACTTAGGGAGGATTTTCTCTGAAAAGCAAGAGTACATCCTCGTGTGAGAGCCCTTCTCCTTTCCTCTTGTCTCTTCTCCAAAGTATGAGCACATCCAGCTTTTCAGTAATAATGGTTTGAAGGCAAAATATGTATTTCCTTTGCTCATTCTTGAATATATTTTGGATAGTTTTGCTCGCTGTTTTCCAGATATGTGGAGTTTGTGCCAAACATGCCTTACAGAAAATTAAAGCCTGAACTGATCATCTCTGCCAAAGCTTTAAGCCACTGAAAACAAGTTCTTAAAACTGGAAGTCCTGGGCATCCTCAGGAGGCGATGCAGCCAGACCTGCTTATCTCACTCTCCTTCCCTGCTTTCAGCAGCCTCATCCTCGCTCATTGTTTCCACCTTTCCGCAGCACACAGGGGTGCTCTGCGTGCGCCGCTTTCACTGCCGTAGGGTTCTTCCCTTCCCCAGTCTTCACCGATTCACCTCCACGCCGTTATTCTCCCACTGAATCTCAGCTGGGCTTAGCTACGAGGGGTGCTGCCCGCGCTGGCTTGTGCGAGCGACCGGCACCGACTCCGGTCTGCTCCAGCCTCTTTGCAAACGTTTTGCTAAGATGAAATCCTTACTCCCTTTCCAGCTGCGGTGCTGTTCTGTTGCATATTTACTGTGCTCTGAAGGCCGTGATTTTGTGATGTTTTACAGTGCTTCATTTGGTAGAAGTAGTGACCTCAGCAGTCCCTACATTTCAGCCAGTCGCAATCCATCTCTAGCTACCTCACCCACGCCCACGGGTTCATCTACCTCCTCGGGCGCCCCGTGGCAACCTGGCTCTGCCTGCCCCACATCTCTTGGTGCGAACGCTACTGCATCAGCCCGCCAGTATACCAGGTAACGGCTCACAGCTGAGATAACGCTGCAGAAAATCCACATTTGGGTTGGAAGGTCTAAATTTCGGAGCGGATTATGGATTAGAAATGTGCTTCCACGCGGGAGGCGCTGGTAAGAAATCCCCGAGTGGTTACGCCGGACAGTGTCGGTAGTGGTGTGCACCGGCAGGCAGTTACCAGCCCCTGGGGGACTTTAGCTTCTCCCCTCCCTGGCGCGGTCGGTTGTGCCCTCTCTCTACCCCGTTAGAGACACAACGTGTTGCTCGGGCTGCTCGTGGGCGTTCAGTGTACAAGCTCTCCGAGTTCATTCCTTTTGCTTATTCACCAGGTACATTTTTTCTAATCATTTTTGCTACAAACAGGGATGTGAAGACTATGAATTCCTCCTGCTTTTTTCTTCTACAAGGTTTTCAAAACTCATTTTAATGTGTGCTGTTCTTTACACAACCACAAGTCTAGAACGAGGAGAATGAACTGTTGACGCTGCCTCGAGGCGGCCGGTCCCGGTCGGCACTTGAGCTCACTTGCTTTGCTTTCCATTATGTCTTCTCTATTTCAGAGCCCCTTTCAGGCAACAAACTGATTCTACTGTAGAGAAAAATACAGAGGGCATCTCTGCTAGCACCCCCCTAGGTGTAATCACAAACCGTGCTGTACTCGGCTCTGCTAACGGTATTGCGAATGCCGGTGCTGCCTCAACCCCGGGAAAGGACGGCTCGGCTGAGGAGGCCAGGGAGCGCAGAAGGTCAGTGGGCAGAGGGCCGGGCTGGCGGTCCTCCTCCGGGATCAGGTCTCACGTGGTGGTGCTGGTGGGGGTGTCCGAACTGGTTCTGAGGTGCTCCGTGGAGTTACAGGCTGCTGCCCCTGCTCCATCCTTAAGGTTTGGAACTGCCGCGTCGCTGGGTTGTAGGTTAAATTTAGTTTCATAATTTTCTACTTGTCTTTTCAGCGTCTCAGCGTTTTTCTCCAGTAGTTATCTCAGCTACTGATCTCAGTCCCCAAGGCCTCTATGGATGGAGGCACAGACAGCCCGTAGCCACTTGCAGTAGGTTCTGTATCATGAATCCCATCCTATAAAGAGTGTGGGACTGAAACAGATAAAATCCATCCCTCCGATTCTTCTCAGCTAAGTTCAGGTATGCCCCGATGGAAACATCCTTGCTGCCCAAGTCCCCTGGATTCCCTCTGTCATTAGTGGGGGAAAAACAAACATTCCTGGAGTCTGTGATGCGTGTGATGTAGGAGGAGGTGGACTGCACTCTAGCAGCGTGCATTGCTTTTGATTGACTATTAAGGAAGTCTTAGCACAGAGGTAGAAGTCTGCCATGTGCGACCGAGGCTATTCCAGCAGTAGCTGCATTTTGATTTACTCTGAATCTAGCAGGTGGTATCTCCTTCTTATCGTATGATGTTATTTTAAGGCTGGGGAAATAAAAACCTGGGGTAGCCAGTGCTGTCTTCAAAGGAAATTTAAATACAGAATATCAAGTGGTCCACATTTATTCCTACAAACAGGTTAACTTTTGCAAAATCTGTCTCTGGTGATGGCAGCGATGAAAGGAAACGGTCGTAGATAAAATGCAGCAGTGAACAGTGTATTTCTAACTAGCAGCCGGTTTGCGGAGTGTTTTCAGTAATTTGATTCTTCCAAACTTAAAATAACTTCTTAAAATTCAGACCTTACTGAGTGGAGGTGGTACTCTGACATATTTTAAATGCCCTGAAGCCAAAGGATGTGCAAAGCAATAATGGAAATACCAGCTTGCAAAGGCAGCGATGGGAGAGCTCGGAAGTGCCGTGGAATCCGCAGTCGGCCGCGCGACCTCTCCCATGGAGGGAGGGCACGCTCGCTGCCGGCTCCGCTTTGCTTCAGCTGCAGCAGATCCAAGAAAGAAGGTGGTCTGTGCTGTTTGGAAAACAGTCAAACTTTGAATGCTCTTGGGGCTTTTTTTCTTTTTTTTTTTTTTCCAGAGCTAGCACAGGGAGTGCTTTGAAGGTATTGCAAGCGTTCTGGATGAGCCACTTTTTCTCTGTGCAGAGACATAATTTGAAATAGCTGCTGCACCGGCTCTTTGTCTGGAAGAACACTCAGGTTTAACATGAGGAGTGCCTCTGTGTGCTCCTTGCCGTTTTGGGAGGGGTCAGTTGGCTTGGTGTCGTTTGCAATTGGATTGAGATGAGCTGCCAAAAGATACTCCCGGTGCGAAGTGAGATTGTGCAAAAGAGGACAGAGTGAGTATTGTGCTTTCAGCTCACCCGTTAGAGAGTTTCACAACAGTATCTCCATTTTGGCAAGCCCAGAATCGAGCTGCAGAAGCTTTCGATTCTTCCCAGGAGAAGTGGGCTCCACAAAACCCACCAGACTCTTGGCACTGACTGCAGATGGGGAACTGGACTGTGAGAGTACTTGGAAATGCCCAAAAGAGCATCTATTAATATGACTGCACTGGCATTTATTGCCGAATGGGTTTCTATAAATAATACAGCGGATCTGTTTAACCCTCCTGCATCTTTATTAGAGAACCATCTCTTATGAATTATGCTAATGCAAAGAGAAACAGCAGAAAATTCCTCCCACCTTTAACTGATGCTCTGAAACTACTGAGAGGGGGGGAAAAAAAACCACAGCAATGATGGATTGTGCTTGTGGGTGGAGGAAACTTTATGTATGAATGTGTCCTCAGAACAGGATATACTGCCTGGGGGACTGCCTGCAGGGTTTGAACTAGGAAACACGGACCTAGAGAAACAGGAGAGGTCGCCTAAGTGGGAAAAGCTTCTTTTGGGAGAAGGCCAATTCCAGTAAAATAAAATAAAAAGGGAAAATGGCAAACAGTTGTCAGGGAAGCGCTGTATGGATTTCAGTTCCCACCGGCAGCTGTTGCAGTAGCATTTGCTCTGCTTCAGTGTTTCCAAAGCTCTAGCTTTCTCTTAGCAACAAAAACATAAACAAGCTTATCATCTAATATTAGATCACAGGGACGTCTCCTAACTTGTGGCATTAAATTAGCTGCGTGAAGCCAAAAGGTTAAAGCAGAAGAGACTGCCAGATCTGGGGAGGGGAGACTGGCCGGGCGCTCTGGGGTGCTGGCGTGTGTCTTTTAGTAGCCAGCAAGCCCTACGCTGGCCCACCGGCGTTTCATCCGTGGTGTTTTACCCGCTGCTTGTTTGCTGGCTGAACTGGTCAGCAAATGCTCCCGTAGCTGGGAAATGGTGTGAATCATGCCTCATGCCTTTGCAAAGGAGGGGAAAGAAAAAAAAAAAATTAAAAAAAAAAAAAGAAAAGAAAAGGCAGCAGCAGAGGAGAAATCCATTTGGAGGAATGCAGTGCGGTCTGTCTACCTGGACTGGCCGGAGCAGATCGGTGCCGGGTGTCAGCGCCGTATGTCGGGGCCGTGGAGCGAGGTGCTGCTGTGCGTATTTACATCTACCCAGCTGCGCGCTCAGCCTCCCTCACTCCTGCTGCAGCACTGCGGCGGGCTGACGCCCAGAGGCTGGAAACCTGCCATCTCCCACAGTCAATATTTCTGCCAGGCAATTTCTTTTTCTTTTTTTCCTGGGAATTTTGGAGCCGCTGATGAACATTGCTGTTTGGTCATTTTGCTGATCTCTGGCCAGCGTCAAATTGTCTCGTATAGCGAATGCGTTTGTCCAGCTGCGCTCAAACAGCTCTGACCCTGCTAGTGGTAAATGACAAGTGGGTGGATGCTGTGCCCCCAGTGTCTCGCGTAAAGCCTGTTCCTCCTGGTGCAGATCTCACAGCCTTTTGGTTTCCACTTTTTTTTTTGGGGACCTGGGGGGTCCTGTTGCTTGCAGCCCACTGCTGGATTATCTGCGTTCATCCAGGGTGACAGCGGCCCCTAGTGCCATCGAAGGCTCCTTTACAAAGTTCACCTTGGCCGTGCAGGATCAGCGCAGGGCTCAGTGGTCTCGTCTCTTGGGGGTCCAGCCCCTCTCGAGAGGGTTCCTGGTGTCGCTGGAGGCTGCTGGGAGCTGCGTCCCTGTGCGTGGAGTGGGGTCTGCAGGAGATCTTGCCAGGCTGGTGCCATGAGACGGCTGGTGCTGGAAGGAAGGTCTGGGGGTCAGGGTCTCACCGAAGCCCTTTCGCATCATCCGAAAGCTTTGGTTCGCAGCACAGACGGAAAGGCTGCAGTGCAGCCCGCAGCTCTGCCTGAGAACTTCGGAAAGGCAAGTCTGCGTGCTCACTTGTGTGACCAGGTCCAAAGGACACGTGTGGATGTGAAATCTGCCCTGGCTTTGTAAGAATTAGGTTTTCAATGTGTCCTTCCTGCCCCCACCGCTTTGTTTATGCGACTGCGTTCTGCGATTGTATTTGTTCTTCCTGTTCCTCAGGAAGGCTCCGGCAAGGTGGGAGCGCTTGCCATCAGACAAGCTGTCAGACAGCAGGCACATCTCGCCTTTCCTCAGTTTTTCGTGTATTCTGACCAGTTCGTGATTGATCCGAGAAGCTGGAGTGAGGTGGGCTTGTTTCCCCAGCACCTCTGGGGCTGGGGGCTGTGTTTTCTGTGGCTTCTTACCCTTTAAAGTTTCCCCTAGAAATTTTTTTTCAGATGAAGAAAGCTCACTGAGGTGCAAGGTGAATGTGTCTATCAAACATTTCTCTTTTCTGCGTCATTCCCAAGAGGAATTTATTTTTCATTCTTCATTCCTTCATTCTAAGGATCCAGCTGCTAATTATAGTAGCGTATATTAATAATATATTAATAACCGAATCCTCCTCCGCCAGTGCTGTTAGATGAACAATTTTTGGCAGGTCCTTTTACCTCGTGACTCTCATCCTGTCCGGATTCAGAGCATGACTCCTGGAGGGTGGGCGCGGATGCCCAATACATCTGTTAACCCTTATTGCCTGACCAAAAAAAAAAATATATATAGGAAATGTGAATCTCTGTAAATGTTGAACTGTGGGATTTTATTCAAAAGGTATTTAAATAGCGCTTGAGAGGAACTAGGAGAAAAAGCTGTGAGGATTGGCGTGCTCCCACCTTGGGGTTCTTTGGTCGTATTTGGCTCCAGTCCATAACACTGCTGCAAAGCTGAGTGGTCTGAATTCTCCTGGGAGTGGTCCCCGGGGAAGCGGAGTGGTGGGGATGCTGGTGCGTGGCAGGGGACAGATTCCCGTCTACACTACACAGCGGACAACAAGAAGTTAAGAGGTCTCTCGCTTGTGCAGAACTGAACCATCATCCGGCACCTGCTGTTGAAAGCATTTCTCCGCCACGCCGCTGCCGTTAATCTCGCTCAGATAAAGTTGTCCTTTTTTTAAAAGGGTGCTGGTGCGGATGACGTGGGAGGGCAGGAATTCTGCTGCCCATGGGATTGTCCATGTTGGGAAGAGGCGAGATTGCTCCCGCTGTATCAGAAATCCAGCTGCATTTTAATTTGGAAAAAAAGGTCGCGGTGTGGGATGGGGGTCACTGCTGCGCGGCCGCGGTTCCTGTAAGGGCGGCGGAGCAGGTGTGCTGCTGCGTGCTCAGCTGCCGCTGACTTTATCCAGCGCTCTGGGGAAGGAGGCAGGGGGGGAAATATTTTGGCATTTGCTTTGGGCGGAGGAGCCCAGGCTGTAGGTTGGCCTGCTAACCCAAAGCGGGAATATATGCGGGATCTTCCAGGAATGGTCAAGGAAAGGAAGCGGGGACCACTTGAGCTAACCAATGTAAAAGAACTGCAGCTTGACAGCATGGAGGGAGCACAAGGTAAAACCGCCTTTCCCCATCCCTGCCT